AATACATCTTAACCTTCCATTCACTGGATTCATCACAAAAATCCATGTATCTCTAACGCTTGTAGTCTTTCGTTTACTTCGTCAATAAAATCTTTGTTCAGCTAACGCTTGTATTGGTAACATTATTAGAATGAGCTTAAGAATGACCCGGAACAAATTGTACTTTAACGCCGTTTTCCTGTTTTTGATAAAAATGAATATCGAAAAATAAAATATCGGTCGCCTTTCAATGGGGATTGACTTTGAAATGTAAGAAAATTAGAATTGACGTATTAAGATGTAGAGGAGAAATGGACTTTGCCATGTGATCAAATTTCGATGACAAGAGGAGAGGTAATTGGTGACAAGGGGCGATATATCTAGTGTAAATCTGACGTTATTGATAGTGTATGTATGACAAATGAAAATTTATGTATGAACAGAAGAAACTCGATAAAACACTTACGAACACTGCTTTCAAATTACAAACCTATGGTAAGAAAATGTTTTATTTATGGATTGATATGGCCGGGGTAAAAATATCCTTCTAAAAAGTCGATGATTTATTACGTCATCGCCAATGTCTTCGTTCACTCTTAAATTGATTAAATAACAACACATTTCAATAAAATCAATCTCTTTCGTTATTCCTATAACTGTTGAAAACAACTGCGGTAATCACTCTTCCAATATGCGGGGTTATAATCATATTTTGAAACTACATAATTTAATCATTCAGTCAGAGTCGTTGATGCTGGAAAACGTCCCCGATATTTACCATTCCTCTCCTACATAACGTGTTCAGTGTAATCAGTTGATAAATAACAATGATAATTACACCGTTCTGTCGATATTTAGAGATTTGACTAAACTTAACACGTAATCATCAGTCTGACACCATCTTATTTCACCTGTAATAACGGTAATCTGTCCAAGATTTTTGGACAGCATTTTGAATTTCATTTTTTATTTCGCTTTGATCTGATTTTTTGATCTTATATGGCTCAAGTCCATTTTCCTTTATAAACTCTGCTTTAAAGCGTTATCATTATATACTCAACAAAAAAGAAACTCACAAAGTTCCCCCTGCAGTATACTTTAGCTGTAAAGAAATAATTTAATATTTGGTCAGGTATTACATCAGGAATGATCTCCTTTCTCGACAATCTACTCTAAAAGCAGCCAAGCGTGACGAAGCGATGGTTTGACTTTGTGAGCTTCTTAAGTCCAAATCGGCGTGATCAAGCGAAGCTGAATTTTTCAAACGAATAATTTCAACGGATACTCTAAATTCAGCCACATGAATTTACCACGTTGGCATTTTGATTTAAGATGCCATGCTGAACGCCAATTTAGAGCAAGTGCTTGTTGAAGGATGGTCATTTCCAAACTGCTGTCGCACGGCAGTTTGACGTTGCCCCGAGTACAATTAACCGTCTCTATACACGTTTCCATGCTAGTGGGTTAGTCCCAGGAGCGGTTGTAACGACCGCACAAGACAGGACGATTCGATTGTCGCACTTGCGCAACAGATTCAAGACTATTGTAGAGACTGCATCGCATACCTTAGGTACTCATATCAGACCCATTATTGCTCAAACTGCCAGGAATCACTTTGCATGCTGAGAGAATCATTGCGCGCCGACTTATGTCGGGCCACCTCTGACACCACGAAGGCGGCAAGTGCGTCTTGATTGGATGCGCAGACATTGCTCGAATAGGTTTAGGATGCGTCGATGAAGGCTTGTGATGTTTACCAACGAGTGCAGATTCTGTATCGCTCAGACGGAAGAAAAAGTGTATATCGCAGACAAATTGAGCGTTTCGCCGACGCGAACGATTCGTTTGGGCTTATGTAATGGTTTGGGTAGGCATCTCCCATGGAGTTAAATCCCCCTAAGGCGAACTAATGTTCTCACGAAATCAATTCATAGGAGAATCCGTGAAGGGATTCGTGAAAGAGGTACCCATACCAGGTACTGAAGTATCATTTTGTTTTTCGCGGGTATATCAAATTTTGTACAAATTTCTCAAAATATCATAGACTATTGATTGCATTATTTAATTGTGCATTTCTTTTTATGTTTAGCACATATTTCTTTGATGGGAAATACAATATTAACGAGGGAAGTGCTATGTCAATCATTAGCCAGTGACCTATTGTCATATTTAAGTATGAATAGGAATATATGCTAAAATGTTCTGGCGTATGATTACAAACTATGCCTACTTTCAACTTGAGGATGTCAGCAGACTTATACCTATATTTTTTATTGCTTTGGCGGGGGATGTTTATCTATTTTCCACATAGGCAGTGTCCGAATACAATAAAACTGTTGAGAGGAGATCATTTTTATATAATATATAACTGAAGCTATGCGACGTATTGCCAAACACAAATAGGGACAAAATCAGTACGAAAATATAACAAAATCAAGAAGTAAATAAACGCAGCTGAACGAATAATAAATGAAATCTAAAAAAACGTATACCAAAATTCAGCTGGTAGAGCATGACATCAAAGGAATCAAACATGTTGTCAAACAGAAATTGCGACATTAATATGCACGAAATGGACATTCTTATGTTATGCTAGAAGTTAGAATTTCATGACAAGGGAATTCAAAGCCGTTTTAACATTTAAAGATTCACTTCTCATTGATTCCACTTCCGGAATAGTTGTGACTGAACCCGTCATATACTGATACTAATAATGATTATAAGAGTTTTAATAAAAGAGGTTTGTGTAGTGTTAAGTTTAATAAGCAAGTAATAAACGTTGTTTATTTCCCTTATATTGTTCGTTAAATATAAACGAAGAAAACAAATATCTATTAAACATGATTCGGAACATCTTGTCTTGATATGAATTTTTTTGCTTTCTCTTAAGGCCAGCGTGTTCTGTTCTTGCATCCTATCTTTTGAAAACATTGCTATAAAACAGCTCTATCATCATGGCAAGGTTGCAAGCAATCATTAAAGTATTCATGCATAATGAAATTTAGCACATGAGATGTGGCTTCTAGGTGATATTAATTTAGACATATTCTTCCAAAGATGGCAGTAGCTAAATAGTTTAAAGGGAAACCCGCGGAGGACGTTAGCAGACAAACCTACAGCCATTTAGGAGAAGAGACTTCACGGGTTATTACAAACCTAAGTTAGAATGCCTTTTTACTGCAGATGATATTAATAAAATCCCAGAGAGAGAACATGGTCATGCGTCACCAGGTGGGTGAATCTGTTGTCACCGACACCTGCAAGGTGGAAATTGATTGGCTGATGATAAAACACCAACTAAGCAAGGTCATTAACAGGCTGATATCGACGGAAGTTCGAATACTGTAAATCTGGAAACTGGTGTCAACAATTGAAATCCTGCTGGAGAGTGTGTTGACAATCCGACGACACTTCTATGAATACTTTATCAAAAGGGTACATCGAAATGTTGATTAATTGATGTAACATGGGCAGCACTGCACATTTTCAGTAAAAGTAACAACAATGAATCGATGTAAACATAGGAAACACTAATGCGCTTGCAATGCTTGATTATAAAAATGCATTCAGTTGAGAAGGAAACGTTTCTAATAACAAGGGTGATACATATGTCCATTATTAATTTTTTTTCTTTCAAAGAAAACACTTTTATGACTAAGACGTGTTGAAGCGCCATAAATACTGTTGCAATTTCGACAAAATTTCCTCATTCGATCGATTGCTGCTTGGCGTGATTAGAATTTTAGGTACTACTGTTTGTTGGGTGGGGGGGGGGGGTGTCACTAATTACTAAGTTTTCATTTCTGAGTAAGTTTATTAATAGGTAGATGAATGTGGAGAATTTGGCCATTGCATGAGAAACGTAACAATGCATTAAATAAACCACAAGCAGCGTTCCGCAAAAAGGCAATCAGCTCAGGAAGAAATATCACAAAATGAAATTTCATACTTTCAAATGATATTTTGAGGATATATGTAGCTTAAGTACGAATGTGTCATTAGTTCAGACATTTGTTCATCGAGATGAGTCTTTTTTCAGTATATCCATCATTGTATTTATGTGACGTTTCGTAGTACAATTTAGCAAATTCATATCCTTCAGATAACAGAAAGTTCGATTCAGTTGAACGAATCCGTATATCAACTTCATTAAAAAGTACAGAAAACATCATCACCGGTATCTTCTGTCTGGACAAAGGTCTCACCATTAACCTCTGTGTAGACAGATAATGTATCTGCCCCAGACTCGTGGTGTCAAATGCCAGTCAAAATGTTATGAACTGTATCGGAATGTCTCATTACCAAACGCTATATCCTTAGTACTTATATAAAAAACATTGGTCGTATCTTCAACTTATTCATTATCTGGTTTATGAATTCCTTTGCTGCCGGTCTCGGCTTTGTTTTCGTCCCAGTCATTTGAAAGTCCTTTGTGAATAGGATCATGCTTGAGGGAGAACAAGCACTCAAACTTGTGTACAGATATCCATGACGGTTTATATAAAGGTGTCTATCTCATTTGCTATCATCATATGGGTCTATAGCATAATTTCGTCACAAATTAATTCATTTTGGTTTTATATAACAAAATCCGACTTGTCAGATAAAGGTAAATTCAAATCTACAAGAGAAGACTTCCTCTTAGTTCGCATTAACCTCCATTCCCCCAATCATGTAGATAGCCAACAAGCAAACTTAATGAACAGAAAACATCCAAGTGATTTAAAGTATTTTATAGTGAAAAACAAACAAACGTATCATAGACCCTTGACAAGGGAAAGTGTAATGTGCTGCCGGGAAATTTCACGAATGGATTGGATATCGTTACGTTATGTTTCAACGCCTAAAAATAATCAAACCGTGTGAGGAAATGTTTCAATAACGGTTTTATTTGTTATAATTCTTTATTCTTTATTTTTCACACTTCGAAAATAGATTTTAAGATAGGGCGGTCGTTGTAGAGGAAACATATTCTGATCTCTGCTTAAATTATGCTTATTTTTGCTATTTTTTCTTTGCAGTGCTGGCCATAGACTGTTATGTGTGTTCTTCTCTACAGCATGGAAATCGGGACTGCGAGGACAAATTCGACCAGAATCTTAAGACGTCCGTGTTTATAGCAAGGAAGTGTGATTTTGGCTTCTTCAAAGCTACACACTGCATAAAGCTTAAAGGAACAAGAGGTTTGTCGACATTTACATTTCATTGAACTTGTCAGCATCACTTTGTGTCTTCCAAATTTAGATATACAGCTTCCTTTGTGTAAAAATGCTACTTATATCTCAGTCACAAGACATTCGGTAGATCACTGTAATCAGTGTCTGAATTACACTGGATGCTCATTATTCCGGTCCGTTATTCTTTGAAGTGTCAAAATGTTCTCTTGTTCTCACGCGTGCTTATACACCGTTACTACAGTATAGTGAGAATGGAGCGTTACTAATTCACGTCCGCTTAAATAATAATACAAGCAGACAAAGCTAGATGGTGGGCACTGTATTGGATATTTGATACGTCCTCAGTTCCGTAACGCGTCAGGCCTATGAAGAAGATGGATAGACACCTCGACTCAGCATCTACGTGCATTCGCCATTCAATCAGGACCTGTAATTTGCATTTCCCCTTCCCCAAATTATATATTTGTTTATCATTTATTTCAATCTCATTCAGAGACAGAAATTCGGTAATAGAGTGTCAATGAGTTGTGGACAGCTGGTCTAGACGGTTAAATCACTAAAAACGCCCTCTCGTGGAATTATGATGACGGTAGTAATGGCTGTGATCACTGCACCATTGTCCCGTCCTACAACAGTTAATAAATCAGGAGAACGCAGAGTTTGTTTCGGCTAAAGTACTTTTGAACTTAACAAATGTTTCCTTGAGGACTTTTATTCTGCAAAATATTTCTAAATTGTATATAGAATATATCTGGCATTAGCACGCAGTCAGTTTTATATTTATATGTGACTTGCCTCAAAAACGTTTTGTACCAAAGGAAAAAATATCCAACAGACATGCAATATATCATTATCAGCATCATTTTAGCTGGCCAGATACCACGATGCGAAAATCATTATCAATTTTTAAGATAATAAACTTATTTAATGCATTTTTGATTTAGTAATCTTCGTAAACGGGGTTTCAAGTGTTAGGTAGCTGAAATTCATTATATATCTAAAAATTCTTAATTAACTTTTGGAAAATGAGACTATCTGGTATGTACGATATAGTTATAGTTTTTGCACTGGAGTAGGTCATTACATGAGAAGATCTTCCCGGGAGTTGATCTTTATCACACATGTGTAAGATAAATTCATGTTGATGGGATCAGATCGCTGACAAATTTGCTTACAGTTCTGATGGTATAAATCAGAAGTTTAAAACATACTAATTATATTCTTGTACGTTAAATAGGACTATATCGTATATATTATATATGTAATTGTGAGATTACCAGTTGCTGAATATATCTTTACGCTAAATTATTTTTGAACTTAAAAGGTCTCGACCTTTATTTAATTGTTCGTATTTCTATAACAACTCCATTTAAACTCAGAATTATAAACTATAAGTCATGGCGTTTTCGTGATATAAAAACACGACCGTACATTTGTTTTGAATATCAATTGTTATATCAATACTTATTCATATTTTAGTTAGATAATGGGATTAATTGTGAAGTTTATATTGATTACTATTAAAATGCTGTTGAGAATTCTTGATGAACTTAATGAATATAAGTATATTCTTGTATAAATTACCACCTGCAACTCAACAGAACATACACAATCATAGGTGTTAGATTCCATTACATATTTGCATGCTGTGCATTCTACGGGTGCACTTACCTTTTTCATTATAATTTACTCAATAACATTCTTACACCCTTGAAGCTCAGCAGGAATTGTTTTCGTACGACGTTTAAAACATTCATCTCAACAGTTTATCGAAAATGTTGTTTTTTGGCTTTTGTTTAAAATCAAACACGCGCTACTTTTTTGTAATGTATGTTTTATTCTTATCTTTAAAACGTAAATAGAATGTTGTTGTGTGGTACTTAAGAAAGACGTAGCTGATAATTTGAGCATCTCCATCTACCTCGTGGAATGTTGTATATACCTAAAGGCCTGATGGCTGTCGGTGAATAACGAATCTTATCCTAAATCCCTATGAGCAGTGTAAAGGCGTCTACAGTGCATACCTGCAGTGACAAGAAACGCTCCTGATAAAAACACACCACGGAAAACTTTAAGACAAGCGTAGTTTACGTGCCTGTAAATTTTAGGTATAGTTCAGTTTCATGATGATGTTTCAAAGATCTCTACTAAAATCATTTTTGAAAATATGGAAACTTATCAGCGAATACATGGCGGGTAAAATTTTTTAAAATTTCCTTTACTCAATCAAAACATGATAATAAATTATTTTACTTATTGTATCACTTATGATCTACCCGGGATATTAAAGATTGTGAACTCTTTAATAATATAAACATATAATTCAGTAGTTTCCGGGCATCTTGTAGGGAAACATATAGAGCGTTTTCTTATTTGAAAATATGATTCTACCTGTCATTTGGATGGATATTTCACATACACTGGGGAATAGCAAATTTTAATACAAAATAAAGTTAAGAGTTAGACGCAGTCATACATTCAGTGAGGCTATCGGCCTAAACTTTGGAGCTTAGGACATAAATTTCAATGATTTGCTTGACAACTTGTTATTATTAAATACCTCAAATCAACATCAAATGTGAATAATATAATGGTCGTCCCGAATGAACGTCCCAAATGATTGGCTTTATATCCACATTATGCTGAACTGACATAAAGACTGCACAAAAGACACACAAATCAATAGCACCTTTCTATATAAATTTAGAGTTAAGCTTTTGCTCCTTCTGGGAAACTGATATTCACAAATTATATTCATGATATATACAAAGATATTGAGAGATGGAGGAGATGACTATTGATGACTCATTTCATGTTTTTTTTATATTGCCATTTAATGATTGATGTATGACCACATACAATGTGTAGTAGGAAATGTGGATCAGACATCGAACGTTTTCATCAAATCACTTTATTTATCTTCAATAATCAAGTATGATTTTATTCCAACCGTCAGGTTAAGGATTATTTCTTTGTTGTGTAGAAACTAACTGCTTTTATTGTCTTTATTGAATACTTATCTGATGGGAACGTCAATATAAGATTAATGATAAATAATCCGATCACTGTAATATAGTTAGTCAGTTAAAGAATAATACAACTCAATCTATCAAAATCTTCAGACGTGTTCACACACGTAATCCTGTTATTGAAAGATGACGCCCCGAAAACCTGTAACTGGCTTCAAATCATGATAATTGTAGATTTGTTTCTATCCATTTGTCTGTCACACACAATGAAACAAATGTCCCATTGCTACTGGCATTCTTTATTCTGATTTCGGTTTGGCGCCTACATTTTTTTCCATGTGTCCGTATAAATATTTGTTTTGTTAAGATTTCGCCATATTTCATCGAGTTGGAGTTTTAATTGAATTTCTGTTGACTTGTCGTTGATTTGAGATTCTGTTGGCATCTCGTTGGTTTGAGTTTCTGTTGACATGACGTTGATTTGAGATTCTCTTGACATGTCAATGATTTGATATTCTGTTGACTTGACATTAATTTAATATTCTGTTGACATGTCGTTGATTTGATATTCTGTTGACATGTTGATTTGAGATTCTATTGACATGTCGTTGATTTGATATTCTGTTGACATGTTGATTTGAGATTCTGTTGACATGCCACTGGTTTGAGATTCTGTTGACATTTTGATTTGAGATTCTGTTGACATGCCACTGGTTTGAGATTCTGTTGACATGTTGATTTGAGATTCTGTTGACATGCCACTGGTTTGAGATTCTGTTGACATATTGATTTGAGATTCTGTTGACATGCCACTGGTTTGAGATTCTGTTGACATGTTGATTTGAGATTCTGTTGACATGCCACTGGTTTGAGATTCTGTTGACATGTCGTTCTTGTTTTGATACTATATCTCCTTACTTACGAAGTATGAAGTAATACTTTGCAGACCTAGCGACATGTACAAAATCATAACTGCTACAAGCGAGTAAGTAAAAGTACGGGGTGATTTTATTTATCTAGTTTGAGAAACTTACATCGACCATTATCAATGCAAATTCAACACTCTGTTTTTAGTTATTGCTATGTGACGCTTGATTTCAATAGTTTAAATCGGTAATAATCGGAAAGTAATATTTCTGTGATAATCAACGGAAACAAAACAATATAATCAAAAAGTAAAACCATCAAGCACAATAAACATGCGTCATTTTCTACCACTTGAAGTTTTCTGTTAGAGTCTATGTTTTCATGTATAGTTCTTGTTGTTTTAGGTAAGTTTATTTTTCATTTCAGAGTCTCATTAATTTCAGTCTGGTTAGACTTCCCTATTTTTTTTAATCTATGTTGACTTCTTATACATAATTATCAAATGACGGTGTTCTTCAGAGTTTTGACTGCCTATCGTTTATGTACTCACTAACCTGTTTAATAAATTTCCGCAGGAATAATTGATATGGCGTTTAGTCGTCAGAGATCAAACGGTGCCAAGGAGATTACACTAGCGTAGAAGGCCAGTAACTATATGGGACTCCTGCGTCTGTGGCCTGGCAGGTCCAGGGTATCATTCCAACACTCGACATCATCGCCTCTTACAGGGTTCACGAAGGATAAAAACATATTTATTGATTGTTGTTACCATGCTTGTCCAATAACCGGTCAAATAATGGATGGTACAATTAGTGCATTAAAGATTACAAGGTTGTAGACGAACATCATTAGGCTACGTTCCGGGGTTGATAGAGGGTGCCATCCGGTCGTCTGCTTCGTGTGTTTGTTGAGTATGATCAATGATAGACTTGATAATATCATGGTTTTCGTATAATGTGAAGACAAACCAAACTACTAATGTATAATGACTTGTCATTTTACGAAGTAAGTGTATTTACTTCCAGGTTTAACATACGTTTTCCGCTGAGAATACTCCGTTCTTATTCATTCAAATTATCAAAAAATTGGGATTTTCAGGAGAAACACAACTAGTTTTATTTCCTGAGTAAAATATCAGTTTTCAGTTCTACTTCTATCCTTTTTTCAATATCCATGTTTAAAGGTTTCTTGGAAATTGTTAATATTTATTTCATCTTTTCCATCGAGGGCCGGAACAGGGATCAGTATGTTGCCAATCAGTCTGTGGCGAGTTTCATATTAAGTTTCGTATGGAATGGAAACGAATAATGTTTATCCCATAACCTACTACATAAACATATATCATCAGAGGTGCTATTCACTTGTGTGTCTTTTGTACAATCATTTAGTGAGACTGTTTAGTTAGTACTGTATCACCATAACAAAAATGATGTAATTGGTGTTATCACGCCGATAACATTACATTTAGATATGATTAAAGTATGGTAGTTTGACACAATACCTTTCATATCCTTTCGATATTAAAGAACCTGCATTCGCTGAAAAACGCATATGTTGCAAATAATATATAAACTGTGAGGTTTCCGTATATGTCTTTATTACATATGACATTCCTTTATTAAGGAATTCAAATAGTTAAAGAAACGAAAGCTAGCATATCCGTTACGTAAGTCTTTAGCTTACGACCATAAATATACTTACTATTACATGTAATCATTATGTTATAATGAGAACATCAAGAGGGTTTGATGACGTAATCATTTGGTTCAATACGTCATTATCATATATAGGAATTAAGTTAAATTTCAAATATCTAATTGATCTGCCCATGTAAAATACCATTAAAACAATGCTTTTTCAGGATTACTAAACAACACATCAGCATCTTAAAGTAGTTTTAATTATATAGTACAGGCATTAACAAATTGTTTTGGTGTTTTCCAGAGGACGGGACATCAATCCTTGTCCGCCAGTGTAGCAACGAGGACTGGGGTAGTCACTGTGGGGACATTAAGTACGAGATTGGAGACAACTCGGAGATGGTGTACGGTTGCTTGGAGACCTGCAACTTTGATGGATGCAATACATCCAGTCATTTTACAGTAAACAATATCTGCATGATAGGTATCCTTGGAATCAACTTCCTGGTGCGCACATGGTTGTTATAGCAATTCCAAATCTCAGAATGAAAAACTAATTTGATATGCCAAACAAATCGATTGATATTCATCTGTGTCATTATCGGAGGCGACGCGGATAGGGATGTGTACATATGTGCGCGAAGTAACGGATATTTCTACGGGCATTGAAAAATAATGCGACAGGATTATGTCTCGTGGTTAGATTGCACAGACTTTTGTTATGTTTCTTTGCGTTCCTAATCCACTGTTAATGTTAACGACTTATTCCTGAAATGAAATATAATATATACATATTATGTAAACTTATAATGAAAACGCTTATATTCAAAAAATGAATTATGTGTTCGTGAATTCATTTGTATTGATTTATTCAATTATCTATTTATTTCGAATATAAATGAATTCCCAGGCTTAGTTTAGTGAATAAGTAACATAATTCTTTATATTATCTTATAAAGATGGTTGTGATAAATTTGTATATACATTCAGTAAAAAGCATCAAATTGAAAATTATTTGAGGTGTATGAAATCTTGCCATGAAAACTTTGAAAATGACTCTGAACATATTAAAATTTCAGAATTTGTTGATACATAACTATTGATATATTTTGAATTCTGTTGATGTTTCAAACTATGTTCAGATGCTACCTGATATAGGTAAAAGTTCTCTAACGATGGAAAGATATTGGCCCATCTACTTATGTTTATAACAATGATGTGCTGAGGATGTCTTTATTCTTCCTATTTCTCTACAATTAATATCAAATTGTTGTTCAGAGCAAATTTTAAGAAAATAGGTCACTGTTAATATAAAAAGGCTATTTTTTGTGCGAGTTGATTTGTTTGACTATGTCACGATTTTTATAGTGCTAGCTAATGAAGACACTGATATTGGGTCATTTCTCGAAACAGATTTACACGCAATGCATTTGTACAAAACAATATCAACTCCAGTTATATTTGAATTGAAATGATTTCATGGGCTATTTTCTATTGTTATGGCAACGAAGTTTGTGTTATGATAGGGTCACTTTTAATGTTTTATTTACTTTTTTGTGTATTCCATAGATAGGTGTTGATATCCTTTTAAAATAACTTATGTTTATTATCTTCTGTGTGATTTCACACAATAACATGTGTAATTTAATATCACTGTGTGAAAAAAGGGTGTATATTATACTATTTTCTACTTAACTATGCACATTGAACCATTTGACATGCATGATGTATGATATGAAATTGTAACGTATTTCTGTTAACCGTTTAATTAACGTCACACCTCATGTAGTTACCATGGGACCATTCATATGTTTAAATGTCGTTTTCCCTTCTGTGTAGTGTTTCCAATGTTGTCGTTATCTGAATGCCGTGGTATACCAAAGTAAATATTAGATATTAAAGAGTTCTTACAAAGCTCCAGGTCCTCATAACGTTTGTTGTATACTTACGATATGTGTCAACTACAATGAATGTATTGACGAGTCATCATGTTCATTTGCTAGTGCTGTTCGTGGAAACTCGTTTCCATCTTTGAGAAGTATAGAGTACTGCGCCAGATGTCCAGACAAATGTAGGTTTTAATACTTCAGCATGTTAAATAGCGTTCCGATATTGTCATTTCGACATTAAGAAGCCTATAAGCTTGACGATGTTTCCCCTCGGCGCTATTGATGTTTATCTCCTGTTCTATAAACCATTTACAATTGGGGATTGTGATTATATTTCTAAAATTGCTTGATAAATAAAGCGTATTACAACCACAGTAGACACTAGTGTAGTGTTTGTCTAATAATAATTTGATTTACTTTTCAAAAAACCAGAAAAATCGAACGCCTGGTAGATGCTGGAAATTGATAAGATAAGATAGTCAATGGGAAAACGGTTGTTGAAGGAGCTCAGAGCACGGCGTAAACTGTCCACAAACATTGTCTTGTTTCCAAACTGAAAATCACCACTTTTACTTTTAACTGAATGATTAATTTTTCTGAAGGCAATCTCTGTTTCAACGCTCCCTATGCTGACCTCATATTCAATAACCCAAACCGAACGAAATCTGGGAACAGGTTACGTCGTAGTACTATGCAGATTGAAAGGTGTCGATGGCAGATATCTATAGAAGTACATGATGATATTTCAAATAACATTATTAGGTGTGACCACCATCTAAAACCATACAAGCTACTGAAAGATTGATAACATTATACATGGTGATAAAATTAAGTTAGCGTGGTTCGTTTTCCGTGAAGGTTTTGGTGCATATTTAGATTTCATCCATCACCTGAAATATCATGTCTACACATCAACTATTTATAATGGAAATATAATACACGGGAAACTCACGCAATACACAACTACTAATAATTTAACAGAGAAATATATAAATATCCTACCTTGCAATAAAAGTGTTTACAATGAAAGGAACTTTAAAACTAATTCTGTGTTTTCTATTAATAGATAAAATCTATTAAAATCTAGACAAACGACATTATATAGCGAATGATCCATATATAGAATAAATATATTTGACAAGAATGAGTAAAGGAAGGTAATATGACATCAGAAAGTACTGTTTGAATGGTGAACATTATGTCAGTACATTTTATCAGGTCTTTGACTATATACCGAAACTCAAAAAGTAACAATATCATTTAAATAATCTAACCATTAGACTTACAGATTAACGACAGTACTACTTAAATGCAGCTAGTTTCGAAAACATCGATGGAAACAGATAGTTATACGAGTATGACGATTCATGAGAATCCTCCTCCAGGACATGAAAAGCATTCAAACATGCATGCACCATTTTATCTGGTGAGCAAATGCTGACATAAAAAGTGGTTGTGCAGAAAAACATCCACATGTCAAAATTAGGATAAACACAATCCGGATTGTCTTTGTATGAGTGACACTCTTAGGAAACGCAAAGACATTTACCTGAGAACTGTATATTTACGTCATCCTGTGATTTTTTTTTCTAGTTGTCCATCAAAAGTTCATAGATTATCAATTTGCGTCATTGAAATGCTACTGGAATTTTGTTTTTGGTAGTTAGCATCCAGAGAGTTGCTTAAATTTTCTAAATATAACCGATAGCCTGCTTGCCTGTTCCCGATTTTCATATATAACTTGATGTGAATTGAAAATAAAACCAATAAAGTTGAATCAGATAAACACCTTATGTGTTATTTTATGTGGACAAAATGAATCAATCAAGAGATGGGTTCCCTGGTGAGATAAACATTTGTTGATAAAAGTCTAACATAACTACTAACAGAGGAAGCGTTAAATTGTGATAAGTTTTATCCTTCAGCACTAATTACAATGTTGTAAAGCTAACAAATACATGCAACAATACCTTATCACCAACACTTTGTTTAAATCAATACAGCAGTCTATCGCACCATCGCCAGATATACCTTTATCAAAATCTTTGTTGAAAATTTATAGAAGGATACTTCAGTAGACGTTTGATAATTACGATGTGATTTTAACACTATATCATAGATTTGTAGTATAATGCTTGACGTAGGGGAGATCACTCTTACATTTTCAGCTGAATTTTTTGTTTTACTACATGTCTACCTGTATGTCTGAATAAGAAGTTTTAAGAAACACTTCACAGTTTAACAGTTGATATTTAAGTGGGTCAAACATCGCCCTGGGTATTTGTACACGTGTCAGTGTATATGTCCGCTCTTCTGATCTTAAAAGATCACTGACTTCGCCGAAACGATTAGTTTCAAATGTCAATGATCGTATAGGTCAAACTATTGTGTGTCTTACTAGGTCAAATCACTACAACGTTATCCAGTCGGTATATCTACTGTATAAAAGTTGTTCCTTGATGACAAGGTAGGACCTATATTTCAGGTCACACTCACATATGTATAATTGCTGTTTACATATTGTTTTGTAATAAAAACTCATGCCTTCTACCAGTATAGAAACTTTTACTCAGAGACGAAGTCTTGTCCAATTCTTCAATAAAAAAACACAAATTATTATAACAATAAAATGACAGTAACAAAACAGTGACAATATAATTACTGCACTGGTTGTTTTTTGATGAGTTTTATTTTCACTGTTCTCAAAGATGGAATAAATCCGAGAAAAACAAATACATTGCAGAGTCTATTTCATCATTTTTGCTTCAAATTTTCGAGAAAAATTGCAATTAAAAACAACCTTTACAGTTATTATTTTAGCGATATCAGTGTTATCACGAACACAGAACAATTTTAATTCCTTAAAATTTGATCAGACATAAACAGAAAGTCTTCATATTATCACGATCAATGTTTTTCCATGCTGAAGTTGGCCTCCCGTCGACATTTTACCCAGAGGTATATAGGATGTATCAACGACACTGCCGTTAGACATATACAGAACACGTCCGACTGAAACGGAAAGGGAGATATTAATTACGTTCTTATATTTCTTACACTGTTTACTGACCACTGTATTGATACCGCTTAAAAGTGTATATAACAAAATTACATCTACGTAGAGGTAGTACTTTGTTAATCTATGATCTATGTACAGTAGGTGTTTATCACATAGTATACCAAATACTAATATCTGTTACGATCACAATGCGTTAATACAAAACAATGTTAAGTGAAACAACATTTAAAATCATCAGGTGTATACCATTTATACTACATACATGAAGAACTGCTCCTAGATAACTCATCGACCAGGTAAATAAGGCAAACTGTAGACAGCCAAATATTCCCGCCGATATAATCATTAGTCCATATAACATTTCAAAATATTCGCTTGGAAACCTAGGGGGAAAACACAAACGTAGAAACGTTAATAACAAACAGGAAGTATCAGTTACGGATATCTAGATTAATCCTAATTGATTCATTATAAATAATTAGAAATCTTGATGTTGTTATTTGCATGAATAAATAAGTTGATCTATGTAATTTAATAGCCACTATCATCACAACGATATCAATGTAATTACTTCCATTGCGTTTTACAATTTAATGTTATATGTTTGTTCTATCAATTTCATTTTTCGAATACATTCCAATTCGAAACCTTATTTAGGTTTTAATCAATATTTTGAATTATTATGAAACACAAATATAATGATATACAAGATGAGTTAATTCTGAATGATAGCTAACAGCAATACCCTTCCAAGGAGGTTAACGTGCCAACCAATGATATTAACGAGCTATAAGGTACAAGATCTATTGTCATAGTGGTACAGATCGAGTAATAAATCTTAGCTTACTATCACTGAGAAATTTTTTTTTTTCAAATACGTACACGACGGTTAAGAAAGTAGTTGCGGTACTGTACAGGAAAGATCGCAGGAACGTCATAACGATGAAATCGACGTACAGAATATTTAGACTAGGCAGGAGGGCCAACACAGACAACAAGAAACCGAGACCACTGGCAACGCTCATGGGCAGAACGGCAGGCATCAACTTACTCTGAAGATCTGATTGTTTCTCTAAACATTCACAAAATCAATAGACTCCCTCATTAGTACATTCAGGTCAAATATAAAATAGTGCTTATAGATATAATATCACCAAGTCATCTGATTTAAAGATTTGACTGAAAAACAAAAATAAAATTTTTGTTAAAAGATGTATTATTAGATTTCTAAACTTACACTCTAGTGATGAAAGTCGCTGGTAATGAAGAAAAATAGTACCCTTTCCCTATATATTGCTATATTCCTTCCCGCTGATGACTTTATTTTACGCTGTCCGGTATCGGGTATGTGTTCAAATATTATCTTTGGTTTTTCATTAAACCAAATCCGAATCGCCATGGCTTCATCATCCCTGTTTGGAAGAGGGGTTTGCAACCTTGAACTCTACTGATAAGAGCTAGTAAACGCATCCTTATCACTCGATAGCGGGTGAGAAGCTGTCACCAGTGTTTATTTTGTCTTGAAACTACCGTTATTCAAATTGACGAATGCCCGGATTTCTGTTGTTATAGCTTATTGACAGACACTGTCATACTTATCTGTCTATTTATTTGAAATGGCCGTGACAGTCCTATTTTGGTTGACAACCTCTGGGTAATGAAGACAATTACAAAAATAGGCATCAATTTCGATTATATTATTTTATCTTCTTTTCATCGCTTTCATTGCTGATGAAAACATCATATTTGCATGAACTTAATTTGTGACTTCAATCTCGGATCAGTCTACTCTATCCAGTTTTGTGATACGTACTGCGAAATATCTTTCGTTGCCAGTCATATACAACACCAGCGAAGGGTGAGAATACGGCGCCACCCACCATTGTGTACATCATGGTATTAGTGAATTCACTCACTGTGAATCAACAGAAACAGAAAATTAGACATACATTAAACGCTATAGCAATTACTTTGCATTAATTCCATGACTACATCAGCAGCATTTACACAGGTAAGGCATTATGCAAGTCAAATGATAATCTTAGATTAGACATGAATATGTAACAACAATTAGAATACTAGACAACATCAGAGGGATCTTCCATTTACAGAAAACGCCGTTCTTGCACTATTTGTAGCATCCCCATGATGTCGCCCATTGAATCCTTTAAGTATTTAATATAAACATTGTTACATAAACTATTTTAGTAATAAGAGATGCCTATCAACCTAAAACAGACCAGAAATTGATATTTGTGAGAAATCGTTATGTTAGACTTGTATACATTGTTTTGACGATTAAAGTGAATGTAGTTGAAAGAATAATCCTATCATACCTGTACCGCATTCTGTTTGCTGTGTTTATCACCTGAACTACAAATGCTATTTTAGCGGAGCTTGCTTTTTCTCCTTCAAGCAGCTGGTGGCTAACTCACAACTCAGAAGGGTTTGTGATGTAAGCTTCCTGAGAATTATGACCACCAGAAATAGATCCACACATCTTTGATTAGATGCTCTGCCGAGGGAGTTATTGTGACTTATCAAAATCATAATCTTCGGACAGTCAATTGAAATAACAACTACAAACATCTTTCACGAAATCTTGCAACAAATGTTAACGTTGGACACATGCCATAAATTGTATACAACCTGACGTGACAAAGAAACGCGTGCTCTTACTCATCAGACTATCATAAAAGTGTATACTTATGAGAAAAAGTCATGTTATAAACTAGACATATAATGCAAATGACTGTCGATACAGATTTTATCTATCAGACATTTATATATCATGTACATTGACTAATGACACAATTTTATGTAACTCATATGTTCTAATGTGATTCAAAAATGAAATATATATTGATTTTGTAGTATTTGGTCCATTCGTCAGGTTGATGGTAACACTGATACTATTAGTATAAAACACTTGTGTATGAATAACGGAGACTTTATCAATACCTACTTTATCACATTCTAACGGTAAAATGAAAATATTCTTTGATATGTTATCATAAACATTCATAATCAATATGAAAGTAGATAAAACCAGGCAGGGATACTTATGTTGAATATCTTCCTGAATACTTTCTTCATACACATTATGTCATACACATGGATTTGTTTTCTCACGAATTCGTCTTAAAATGTGAGATAAATTACTTAGATTGACCTAGATTTACATGGCTGTGTCGTCGATAAAAAAGAAGACGCTTATTCTTCATGAACACCTGGTCTTATTCTCCTTTTACAGGAATTTGTTTTTCAAAATTGAGTTTGGATTATGATCATGAGCACATTTTGGTATTTTCATGATGTTTTCGGATTACAATATCCCACAACGAGTTTCAGTTTAATAGATGCAAAATAATACTTCAGCCAAAAAGATGCTGTGATGTTTCTGTGGTGCCTGTTGCATTCATCTAATAGTGTACTTAAGTAGTTTATCAAAGGAGTACTCTCTGTTTTTTTGTTTTGGATCAATAACTTCAAAAAAATAATCAAAGTGCATCCTAGATTTTAAATCAAGATCGCAACATTTGTGACATTCATAATGGACTCTTTTCCTTGGTGATGCCTTGAGCCATTTCATTGGTCAATCAAACGTGATGTTACAATATCAAGTCGATTTCATGTTATTGGACTGAGATATCGTACAAACTGCTTGTTAAATAGAGAATTAAAATATGTTAAAGTAACTTGGATAGATATAAGTTGTATTGTGTTGTCTTTATCAAAAAATCATATTCCGTGAACTCTCATTCAACAGATTTGTTGTAGTTTTTACCCTGTGACAATTTTCATCGTTGATATTATTACCTAATAGCTTATTGTTGTCGGTGATCCTGTGTAGATAACTATTCAGAGAGCCAAGGAAATAGTAGAAACGCAGTTGAAGTATGCAGACCCAAAATACATGAAGTATAAAAGTATCTGACAATACACAACTTTTCAGAGACGGATGGCGTCTTTCAGGCTTGTCTTCCGAATTACTTTTAAGCGGGGTGTTAGTGTGCACATGTACAGGAGAATCTCCTTCTGATAATAAATTCATTAAACACATTAGTACATACAAATAAGTACAACTTAGATTAGTACTTTTTCTATACGTTTATACATCACTGACATTGTTCCTTTTTTGATATATTATAACCGCTTTCAATTCTTACATGACGAGAGCACGGAATAATTTAACCAAACTTTGACTAAAAGAACCATGATTACCCGTTTGTGGTAATATGGCCAAATATCTGAAGCGGCTATTTCTAAGCTTTGAGTTATTTGCTTATTTTTAGTGAAACTTCTGTCAATAATTGGATAGAAAACAACGCCTTACTTTTTCACTACTTGGTCTCAACTTTATGACTTCGTTGGCGTAAAATGCCACGAACGACTCAAGAAAAACGGAAAATTTAATAAATACAATTAAACGACTAGTCACGTTTGGAAACCATCGTTATACAACAACTACACTAAACGACTTTCATATTTCACAATTTATAACGAGCAGAAGTTTTTTCTCTAAATGATACCTTTGCCATTTATTTTTTCTGGAATGAATGTTTCCATGGTTCCTTCCTCCTTTACCGGTTTTTCTGAATTACTAATGCGATCTTTAGGTAAGAAAACGAATGTACTTATTGGGACTATCATATGCAGAGCTGCCAAAATAACGAAGGAATACTGACTTTGTAGTCCCTCTTCATAAGCAAACTGCAAGACAAATTGTGTTAAAGAGGCATGGCGTGTATGAAATACAAGTTTCAATGTATATATCAAATGTTATTTAAATTTTCCTCTGATTCCTATGACGTAAACAATTGTGTAAGTAACGAGTAGCTTTGGTGATAAAGGAAAGAGCGCTGTATGTTTATTAAAACGTCCATGGTTTAAACTTTTGAATTCATACAGCAATCGTAAGTTATTGATTGGTTTATTCATTTCAAAATGCACATACGTTCGATGAGAATCTTTTGAAAATAATCGTTGACCCAAGTATTTGCAAAATGTTCTTTACACATATAAAAAATACATGGTGATAATGTTCGTCAGATACCAAGTGAACATTTACCTTAAAGATAAGTAACACCGCAGCTGATGCATCATAGGCTCCAACCAGCAGACCGATGAAGGTAGAACGCCCACTTACAAATAGGTTGGAGATCTGTTAAAACAAAACCGTGTTTATTTTCCAATTGTATTACGCAATCATGCAGTGGTGTACACAAAATAACACGGACATTGAGATCGTTTGTAACCACAGTACATCACAGCATATTCCTAATTGAATGTCAATATGTACTGCCTAGATCACAAGTTTGTTGACCCTAAAAGATCGAAACGTGACATAATTTATTTCTTTGTACATCTTGTGGGCGTGTTTTGCTGAAGGTGATTTCCTTAGATGGAATTCTGCTTTAAAATGGCAGTCTTGGCCCATACTAGAAAATTATTATGATTCTTGTACTGTAACATTTATCAACTTGTATCGTTGTAAGCGCAAAATACTCTTAAATTTCAGATAACGGAGAATTACACCTCTACTATTTACATACAAATATAACATTTTTGCCAGTAATATAGAGATGTGTCACATTGATAAATGTGTTATTTTTCACTTGTTTTTGCAGACGTACATCAATGAAAACAGAGAACACAAATCATCTGATAGGATTGGCAAATCACAAAGCGTGATACAACGCCCTCCCCCCACAAAACCAGAAACCTGACGGGGTTGTTTACCAGTGAAACGACGTTCTTTTCCATGGTAAACTTTCATTTTCATGGATGTCAGCAAGTAGTGCAACTCAAATTACCTGATCAGTGGTCAAACCCACTCTCTAATCGAAAGCCCAGAAAGTGGATGTAGACTTTTTTGTTATTATCGACAACGACAACTAGATTGCCTCACCATAGGTAAAACTCACTCTGACCGCTTTATAGCAAATTTTGTCTTGTATATGAATAAGTAACATTTTCTATGTATATATCTAAATATATTTGCATTGAAATTCATTTTTGTGTTGATATATATTTTAATGATTTTTTAACGGACTATATTTTGTCGCGTACTGTGGAGATACAATAAGTATCCACTAAAAGCATAGTCAGCTTCGTCTTTTTATGTCTGTACTTGATATGTCAGTAATTTGACTGTTTTGTGTGTATCAAATATTTTATATATTAGACACACTTGTTAAATATATTTGTTATTACTGAAGACAACATTAGATATTCTTTAGGTTTCATCAATTACAGTACCAGACAATCGTAACTCTCAAATAAGATAGCAAAAATACTTTTGCATTACAAACATGAAGTATGAAATCAATACAGAACGTCTCTTATGTGACTACACACATAACATATAGTGTGATATCCTACTTAGGAGTCCTGCACCATTAGGGAAATGCTATGTGTTTTTTTCTTTGTTTGTTTCTTTGTTTTTGATTTCACAAGATCATAACGGTGTTATACAGGCTTTCGTTCCTTAACAAGCTTTATGTTAAATGTGTACGTCTAAGTGCTGATCGACATCAAAATTTTGTATATCCAGACACGGAAAACGAACACCTGTTCTTATTCTCCGTATACGGTTTCTCATATCTTCATAAAAATATTTTGACAAAAACAAAAAGACATAAATAAGAAAAGAACGCTATCGTGTGACATGTAAATTGATATTACACCGTGTATATATATTTATGCATTCGTTGAGTCTTATTGCTCAGTACATTAAATAAAGTTAAGGTACGAAAGATTAACGTTGTAAACAGATTAAGTGTTGTAAAATGACCACGGATATATACCTGTGCATTCGTCATCAGGAGAGGTAAGCCACCAACACCCATGATTGTAAGTCCCGGAAAAACAAGCCACGGTGTCTCTATGAAATATATATACGATTAGATAACAGTCATGTATAACGACGTTTATCACTCGTAAAGATATTCATCGTGATATCACTTTTAAAAATTGAACTTGAGTTATGTAGTGTTAAAATCGATTTGAATTCTTTTTAAAGGTCATTTGAAAATATCTCACCTTTGTCAACGAAAGCAAGCATCATCGTTCCACATATAAAAAATGTCCTAAAAACAGAAAAAAAAATCCTGTGTATGTATTTATGACGACAGGGGAAAACAAACAATGTCAAAATGTATGCGTGTGATAGAAGTTTGCCTCTGAGGTGTCCATGTCCTGAACAATGTAGGCATGCAAATATACGTTTTACTGTGTACTGTGAGACAAGGTGATCTCATCTAAAATCAATGTAAAAACGCTTTTACTCTAATAATTCATGCAGCAAAGCATGGCCATTCAGCTTTTAAGAAAAGTATCCCTTTGATAATGAAAGAAGCTTAACTATAACAAAGTTCGTTTTACCCACATTGAGATAATACGAGTCACTCTTGTGCCTGTCTTGTACACGATAATTCCGCATGCTGCTGAACTAGCACAGAATATAGCTGATCCTATAGTGAAAACCAATGCAAACTTATCATCCTGTTGTTGACATGTGAAGTCCTGTTCTACGCCCGCCTCTGTGGTCGGCACGCTGCTGCTCCTCATTGTCATGACATTATACGTGCTTTGTTCACTCGCTGACACATTGTTGTAGGAAACGGAGATATTACTGCTCATTTGGCATAAATTGGCATATACGTCTTCCTGTTTAAAAATCCATACCAATGGAGCCCATCCATATAGTAGCCCAGCAAACAAAAATGTCTCTATTGTGGCCCAAAGAGCCACTAGGTATTTTCGCCATCCGTTGTACTTCATGATTTGCACTTACACTGTATTGCAAAATACCTCAGTTCTCATTACAAGTACGACGACACACTGCTGTCGATAGAACGCTATGACCTAGGAATTCATATGTGTGTTACGTGTTATTGCCCCTCACGTTTATCAGTTTAAAAATAGATTCTGTATTTCTATATCAACCACCTTTATCCGAAGTCAAACGTAGATAAACATAATAAAATAGTATCGATGTTAACTTTGGCATTTACTGTTCTGCATATACGCGTATGCATCTAGTTATATCGTCACGAGACTTAAATACCTGAATCAATAAATGTAAGACTTTTTACATGCTAATGTGTTTACATATTTACAAATCCGTATTTGAATGAATCGTAGCGACTAAGCATACTGAAGTTTTAAATTTCAAGGTTTATAAGCAGAATTAACGAACCACTCACAACAAAAAGGTGTTGGTATTTAAATTGAAATGTTTATACAAACATGTGTTTGAAGTTTATACACTAGACGCTGTAACTTATTCGAATAGTGTTACAGTTCAGAATATACACATGCACTTGACTTTTGGAAATATCAGATAAATGAAAATTGTCACATTTATTGAATTATGGGATGAGTGCATCTCCCAATCTAGGTTTTAGTCCATTTGGTTTTCATCAGTCCCTTTAAAGTCTCAAAATGTAAGCCGATAATATCATCAACTCGCCCTGAAAGGATGAAACAGCTGTATGATGCACTTTACAACATCCTATGGCTCTGATGTATCAAATTATATTGAAAGAGGTTACTCGCTGGCGTGTTTTCGGTACAGTTATTAAGAGGGAGACACCAAAGACATATTTCGTCTAGATTTCCTTAATCTTAACCTTTGAATACATAAAATGCGATGCAAACAGAACTATTATCATAAAATCAAATAAGTGAATCGATGACTCGGTTGTATCAAAATTCAGAAATTGAGAACCAAGAAATAATACAATGGCAGCCATGAATTTCTGTAGGGATGATTCTGCTTCATCGAAAACATATCATTGCTTTAATACAATCTGGAAAAACCTTCAAATTCTATCAATTTTGCCTCATGAAGTACTGGATCAAATGTCCAGTTTAGAATAAATCTTTTTTTTTTCTCGATTTTGCATGTCCGAATAATCGGGAGAATGTTGTCGGAAAGGCCGCACGAGTAACAGTCGATAAAAGCATACATCGAACCAGATATCAAGTTCAATATACATGTATATTAGACCAAATCATGAGGATTTATGACAAGAACTCATAAGTGCTTGAGGCTTAGATCAACTTCAAATATGCGCAAATTTCTTCTCTAAGGAATACCAGATGATAATATATCGCAAAAAGATGTTCACATCGATATAAAAGAAAAATTGAAAACTTCTACACACCAGAATAGGCGAATTGGATGAGAAGTAAAATCGTCTGATTTGTCAACACTATGGACTGCCATGTATCACGCCTTAGCTTTCCATAAGGCAGTATAATAAACATAATCTTATTTCCCCTTGCGATCTTTCCGTTTCTAATAGCAACATATCTTGCTATCTCATCACCTTGTTAACAGAAACAGCTGTCCGTTTATCAGTATGATAAATAGGATTTTGATCCCGCTTGTGATCTCTCCATTTCTCTCTTATTAATATGAACGCTTTCCACTAAAAACATTTTAATTTCCTCCTTGCGAATTTTCCATTTCTAGATAGTAACATATCTAACGTATCAGCTTTCCACTAAGCATAAATTATAATTTCCTCCTTGCCCATTTTCCATTTCTTGATAGTGACAAGCCTTGCTTCCCTAGCGTCTTGTTAACAGAAACAGATTACCACTTGGCAATGTGAAGCATAAGTTTAATTTCCTCCCTATTCTATATTCTATAAAGTGACTGCTCCTCCAATCTCTTGTTAAGAGGTCACAGCTGGTCGATATCCTTACGCTTCTTCCCGTTATCCTGGTTTCCGTGATAAACTAATATGTATACCACTTTGTTTCGAGAGCTACAGATTAATGAAGACTTTGGAAAAGTTGTCTGGTCATCGCTTTGATCTCATTGAGAAATGTATTTCCTTGTGGAAAATGAAGATAGATGTTTGATACCTACACGTATACCTGGTGTTACTTTGTTCAACACATGTTCTTCTAAATGACATAGCATTTCCTAATCGCGATCATGTTGTTGCTTCTTTTTTTAAAAAAATAACTCCTATAATATTTTGTTTATGTTTCGTCATTATGACAGCACTGTCTCACGTCCATTGTAGCCTGTAACCATAAGAATATTTTTTGGTTCACATTTTGCCATCGCTGCATTTATTTCGAATTATTATTTTCAAATAATATAAATATTCAACAGCAAGGTGAAATATATTCACATACAAAATTTTAAAAGCGTCAAAAAGAAAAAAAAATGAATAAATAAATACATAAAAACAGTGTTGCACAAAATAACATTTATTTCTGTTTCAACATTTCGTGTTAACACTGGACTGTTTAACAAACAATACATGATATGTTGTCATTTGTTTGGCAATAACATATTTGTATACTTGTGTAACGCACAAATTCATGGATAACACTGTAACAACCATTAACGCAAAACGTTTATTGGCTCTCGATGCAATGATACACTTAAAGAACCAGTTCAATTGACATCACATGATACAGTAGAATATATGCAAATAGTGGAGATGAAAAATACATGTACAACAATCATACATAACATTGCATACAAAACATCTGAACACATTGTTGATTTAAAACTAACCTCGACATATTCTTATCTGTTTCTTTTAAAACCATATAAAATGTGTCGGTTTACAAAATAAAAGTTATTTGTATTGTTCTTTCAGCACCAGTAAAAAGCACGAGTAAAAACCTATTATGGAATGATCTGATCATCCTGAGGAGCTAAACAGAGGTATTTAGACAAAAATAACTGTCCTAGATACATGTTACCGGGGAAACTAGTATAAAGATACTACATGCATTAAAAATGGTATTTGATTTTGGGAAAAATTGACGGATAAAAAACGGGATACATGTTCATGACAGATAACATTTCATCGGGAAATGCAGAATAAAGCTTCAGCAAATGACAAAACATTATTTAAATTGGTCTTTAAAAGACATACAAGTGAATAGCACCTTCTGATACAACTTTTAGAGTTGGTTACAATTAAGTCAAGCAGTGAATTAAACTACACCATACAGTTGTTTTGTCCTTCCGACTCGTCTAGGATGCTAAGGGCCTATTTTTTGAAGCCTAGGAGATGAATGAGGAAAATCCATAGTGATCAAAAGAAAAGTCAAAATCTGGACAGGGAGAAAGAAGCATAAGCCCCGTTACCCAATTCATGTGTAATTATCATATATGTGATATTTTAATAACAGCGTCTAGTGCACGTGAAGCGTGGTCATATTCGAATGAATTAAACCGTGGCATATAAATATTTAATTTACTTTACACAACAATTTTAGCAGATTGATGCGTATAGTATATAGTATATGTGGGTTAAAAAAGAAACGTTAAGCTTATATCAATTCCTTTCCCGAATAAATATTTGATCAGTGTAAATTGTCTTAAAAACAAAGTAAATACATACAATGGGTCATTTGATCTTGAGGAAGTTAGTACACATTTGTAGTTATCACTAAAATGTAAGTAATGCGTTATATTTGTAAAATCACATTGAAATGTACGATATTATAATACTATGTACTCACTTGAGGAAATTTACATTAGTAAAAACATAGAAATATCGGAAGCAAAACATAAAAATAACGAAATAAGCACTGCAAACAATTAAAATGTCACTGTCAACACTGTTAACTTTGGAAAATACAGATTATACAAAAGTCTCAATATTTTTGTCAAAAGATGTCGTTATATCTAGTCAAAATAAAGAAAAGACCCATGGGTCTTAACGGTCATCTGATTATAAAGACCTATACATGCAAAATTTCTCAACAACCAATTACTCCGGACCTACTGCTTGTTGATTAAGATCTCACTTATTTAACCAGAGACTTTTATTATAGGTCAAGGTCAATTATCTGAATAAATTTGGAAGCCCTTCATCCACTTACGTTTTAAACCAACCTCGACCATTTTATTATTGATAAGTCATCGTTTGAAGATTTTAACACAATTGACCCCTGCGATCTTTAAAAACAGAAAAGGTCAATCACATGAAAAAATTGATAAAACTTCATCCCAGCATGTCATAGACCCAATATAAGCACCCTAAGCCTTTTGGTCATTCAGAAGAAGTTTTTTTAAGATTCTGACATATTTCAAGGTCATTCATTTGAACACAATTGATAGCCCTTCATCCAAACATGCTACAGACCTAGTATCACCACTCTGGGTCTTTTGGTTACTGAGAAGTCGTTCAAAGATGTTTAAATGTTTGATACCCGTGACCTTGAAGTGAGTTAAGATAAATAAAAGGAACAAACTTGTTAGCCCTCTATGCCATCACACCACAGGCCAAATATCAGCACCCTTGTCCTTTTGGTTATTAAGAAGTTGTTTAAAGACATTTTAACAAACTTGAACTTCATCCCAGTATGCTACATGCCTAATATCAACACCATGTGTCTTTAGGTTATTGAGAAGAAGTTGTTTAAAGATTTCAACACATTTGACACATGCGACCTTGAAAGTGGGTCAATAATATAATTAAACTTTGTAGTCCCAGGGTGCTACAGGCTTAATATCAGCATCATTTGCCTTTTGTGTATTGGAAAGTCATTTAAACATATTTGGCATCTGTGACATTGAAAGCCGTTCAAGGTAATTCATTTTAACAAATTTGGTAGCCCTTCACTCCTGCACGCTATAGGCGGAATATCAACATTCTGAGCCTTTTGGTTATTGAAACAAAGTCACTTGAAAGTTTACGTAAGGCGACGGCGCACGACGAAACATGACAACTATATGACATCTTGAATCTTCGGGTATGATGACCCTAAACACATCGGAAACAAACAAAACTTATGAACTACGCACTACAAACAACTACAAAGTCACTGTCTTCAACACTGTGTACCGTGTGGAAATACAGTCGATTAGAACACTATAAGTCTCAATACTGAATTTTGTGAGAAGAGGTTGTGTAACATGTAGTCAGAATAAATTTAAGAATGTATTTCAATATTTATTTCTGTTAGTCAACCATTTCTGCTTACATACGCCGCTACATAGAGTAAATGGAACCTATAGCAAATGCAGCGAGAGCCGATTCATCTACGCTGATAAGCATGGATCTGACCTTCCGTGAAATCTGGAATAAACTTTAAAAGAAATCACAATCCAATCTGTGTCTGTCGAAAAACTCTATGATTGGTATTATGCCATGATTTCACATTGCTACGATTTCTGTTAAGTCTAAGCACCAACGCTGTTCGCTAGTTTTGTTTTGTGACAAATCGTTATGATCTCCTTTACTATGGACAATTATCCCGAAGAATTCAGAATGGAAAACCGATATGCCGAAGTTGGGAAAGATGCTGTTACGATAGATTGTAAGCCTCTCTCCGACAAGTCCACCATTGATAAGCTGGATGGATGAACGAAAGGGACACAAAACATAGGCAAAACAAGTCCGCCTAGAACAAAAAAAAAATATTCATCGTATGTTTGCATTTTTAATTAATAAGTCATTTTTGAAATCATACAAATTTTAATAGCTGATAATTTAAAGTTAAACAAAGGAATAACTATCTAATCAGGGCGGTGTGAAACCACAATTAATATAACATTATTTCAATAGTAAATTTTAAAACACTTACATGGAAGGGTCCATCAATATACGATTGTGCCCAGCTGAAGAATGCGATCTGTAGAAAGCCTACTAAACCAGCCACAATAATCCAAACTCCATACAACAAGCCGAAGTACTCATTTGGAAACCTTGCGAAAAGATATTATTAGTTATTTATTTACATCATAATATACATTCTTAAAGCTCTAAATTGACAGTAAAAATAGACACACTTTAAAATTTGTGTTAAAAGATAAATAAAATAAAAAAAGAACACATTGTAAATGAGTGAATATATTGTTTTATTATTCTCAAGGCAAAATCTTTTCTATTATTATCATGATTTGTCCAAAATCAGTTTAGTTATACGGCTGTGAGGTATTCAAGCTTGCACAATAGTCAGCTTATTTTTCAATTTTATAATTGATGTATTTATTTATAGTGCAAATAAAATTCACTTTGGTTTTAATATGTCAGGAAAATTATGTATTTAGAATAAACTGTGTCGCTAGATTTATGAATTGTGTTACAATAAAGACAAGAAAAACTTCAATATTTATTTCAGTTCGATAATTTGTTTATAACTGAAACATCGAATTCGGGAGATGGATTCAGATATACACGATCGGCTCGTTCCCGGACTCGCTGTAATAAAGGATGTTGTTGAAATTTGATACAATACAAATATAATTACTTTGATAAATAACTAAATTAAGTTTAAACTTATCATCACTTTGCTGATAGCGTGTTTTGTTACATAACGATAGCAAAAGAAGAGGTGTAACTAAAAATGTCTTACATAGCACTCAGGTAGGCGGCACCAATACTGTAGATAAACGATCGATATAATGTCATGACGATAAACACAAAGTACAGGACCTCTTCGTAAGGAATGAGCACCAGCAAGGACAGTAGGACACCTAGTCCACACGTGATCATCAAAGGCAAGATGGCTGGCATCAACTTTCGCCTAAGTGCCACTCTACTATCTGTGAACATATTGCATAGTATCATTTTCCGTCTGGATTCTAAATCTGCTGATTAATGACAGTCACTTTAACTTAAGTATAAATGAAGTAGGCAAGTTATTAAACATCATTTCAGTATTATTAGTTTTAACTCTCATCACTGATCAAACTAATTTAAATATTTAAAACCTCAGAAAACAATGTTTTTCCATAGTATGCATACTAAGCTATCAGGTAGCACGTGACAATTATACACATTTCATTTTGTAACTGGGAAAACGTAGATTAATATAACGAAAGGCAGATATGAGTCTGTGAGGATGTTAGTAACAGAATAAATTATTATGTCATTCGATATACGGCAGACACATAAAGTGTTAACACTTTGTTATAATTCTGTAAAGGAACATCTTATTATCATGAAAGATATGCTCAATTTTTCAACGTGAAATTCGATAAAAGACCAGAAATAACAATAGACTTTTGTCAAGCAGTACAAAGATGTACAAGTGTAACTTTATAGAGTCAAATCAACATACCTTTGAACATCCTTCGCTGCCAGTCATACACGACTCCAGAGAACATGGAGGAAAACAATCCTCCGAGCATAGTGTACATCATCACATTCGTAAAATAGCTCACTACAATAACAAATACAATACTAATTGATACACTGAAGGCGGGTCCATCTACTACCAGAAACTGTCAAATCTATATTCCACATGTCTGTTTTCCTGTTACGGATACAGGGATACAATTCCAATTTCTAATTTATCTTTGGTCAACTTTACTTAGTTGTATGAACTGACCTTTAAACCATCAGCAAACTTTTTGGAAGGAAATTGAAAGAATACGCTCTATTATGTCTAGTTCCTATCACGTAATTAGTGTATATATTTACCTACCTATGTAAGTGTTTACCTACCTTTGTATTTGTCATCATTTGTGATTCTGTGGAGATATGTGTTGACGGAAGCCAGGAAGAAATAGAAACGGAGCTGAAGCAAACATAGCCAAAGGACATGTAGCAGAAAGGTAGCAGACAACATACATGCCTTTAGAGAGGGGGTATCAGAAGCTTTTTCGTCGCTCACCTCAAATGTCGTCTTTTCGTAAACCTGACCGTCTACAAAAAATTGTTCAAAACTACAGGTGAAAAGCACATTAATTACTAATATATTAAAATAGATGTAGTATACTGTACTGCTAGATGTTTTGCCATGACCCGTCATCGAAGCAAGGATGATGGGATAAGGATGTGATAGGGGCGCGATGGGAAGGGATAAGGATGTGATTGTGCGGGATGGGATATGGATATGATTGGGCGGGATAGGATCAGCACATTATGAGGCGGACGGGATAAGGACATTATGGGACGGGATGGGATCAGGATATGATTCGGCGGAATGGGATAAGGCTATGATTAGGGGGGATGGGATAAGGATATGATTAGGGAGAGACGGGATGGGATAAGGATATTATGGGGAGGGACAGGATGGGATAAGGATATGATGGAGCGCGACGGGATAAAGAAGTGATGGGAAGGCACAGGATAAGGCTATGATGAGGCAGGATGGGATAAGGATATAATTGGGCGGGATGGGATGGGATAATGAAGTGATGGGAAGGCACAGGATAAGGCTATGATGATGCAGGACGGGATAAGGATAGGATGTTGCGTAAGGGATTGGATGGATATGTTTAGACGGGACGGGATTAGGATATGATTGGGTGGGATGGGATAAGGATGTGATGGGGCGGGACGGGATAAGAATGAGACGTGGCGGCATGGGATAAGGACGTGATGGAGCGCGACGGGATGGGATAAGGATGTGATGGAGTGGGACATAATGGGATAAGGATGTGAGGCGACGGGACAAGATGAGATAAAGATATGATGGGTGGGATGGGACAAGGGTACCATTGGGCGCGACGGGTTGGGATAAGGATGTGATGGGGCGCGACGGGTTGGGATACGGATGTGATGGAGCACGACGGGTTGGGATACGGATGTGATGGAGCGCGACGGGTTGGGATACGGATGTGATGGAGCGCGACGGGTTGGGATAAGGATGTGATGGGACGGCATGAAACTAACAATGACAACACTGCATGTCATCTCCCTTTAAACATTTAGAAACATAAAATTTGGGGTAAATGTAGTATCTTAAAATTTGTCATTATTCTGATGAATTTATTTGCATTGAGTGGCACATACTGCTTTATGTCCGCAGTTTGTCGCTGATTAGGAAAATCATTGTTGAATAACGGCACCATGACAGCAACCCCTACGGAAAATGTAACTAGTAACAGAGCAAGGTTGTGTTATGCCTATATTACAATAAGAAGATATTATCTGAGGACAGCTTTTATTTTCAATCTGCTATAGATAACCAATTATAAGAAATGTGAATTTGCAACTTTTGCCAATATCAGTTACACCTACACCAATATGGTCGTTAAATAGCCAAGTATATGATATATCGATTTGGTAAACATCTTTAAACAAGCCTACTTTCGTTGGTGGCGCTTTGGTCCATCTTTTCGTTCTCCAGAAGGTCGACCGCCTTTTCGTCCTGGGCCACTTCAGTACTCACTGTTTCTGACGGACGAGGAATGAAGTATTTTGGAAGGAAGACAAAGGTGCTCACGCCTACCATCAAGTGCAGTCCAGTCAACAAACCATATGAGTACTGTATTCTTACTCCGGCTTCATACGCCACCTGGGACAAGAGACCAGCAAACGTTCTAAGTAGAATTCGGAAAATTATCACCCTGGAGTTGCAAGATATGGTAAAAAATTTGTACATCATGTAATCTGCATCCAAATAATGACAACTTACCTTGACCAGAAGTTGTATTGCTGATGAACAATCGAATCCCCCACAGAGAAGTCCTATCCACGTCGAACTTCCTTTGGGAAACAAATTTCCGATCTACAAAAAAATTAAAGTAATTGTATATTTATCATTTCGTATTCTTATCAATTTAAAATATATGTATGACTTCAAACCATACATTTATTATGATTATTGCTTACTTGGGCGTTGGTCACCAATAGCGGTAGTCCGCCCATCCCAATGAACGCCAAACCGGGATATATCAGCCAAGGTTTTTCTACAATAGAACGGAGAGGGATGCCAGTATTAAACGATAAATGCATTCTAAAATATTTCTCAGCATAAAGAACGCAGAAACAATGATCAGCTTTCATTACGATTTGAAAAAAGCATTGTTATCTTTAATAAATATTTAAATATATTTAATAATATATTGGAATACTCCAAACTGTATATATCTTTGCCGAATTCAAACACTGTACAAACAGTGATAACGATTAATTAGGTTATCTACCTGTGTCCACGAATGCGAACATAACAGTTCCCGCCATGAAGATGACCCTGTCAAATAAAGTTAGCTCGTGTTTAAATGTATTATGTAATGTATAAATGCGTAGAGGTATAAAATTCCTAACACAGATGATCCTATAAGTAAATACCGACTGTGTCATTACTGTCCTGTCCTTACTCACCCAATGTCTACTTCATGCAGAACATATATGAATGATTCTATAAACCCCTGAAAGGCGAATGCTACAGATAGAACAGAAAATCGTGTCGTAAAGTTCTAAAAACGGTGATGGAGTAGCTTACCCTCTAGAAACCGCAATAAAGACACAAAGGAAGGGTACATTTCCATATAAAATTTAAGAATTAATATACTATTGTCAACGATGATGGGATAATTGAAGCTACGTCATACAGGTTTTTCTTCTTCTTAATCACGTTAAAGATGTTTGGAGCTGGATGTACAGCTAATACTCTAATCGAGGCTCTGCCATTACGAAAATGCAAACCAAATGATTCCAATTGAAGCAATTCAAAACAGAATAACTGACATTGTGACATTAAGAGTTTTTACAGAGTCAAGTAATTTGTTTTATCTTTTAGTGACTTCTTGAGCTAATTGTCTGCAAAAGTCAAATAGTTCATCACCATCTATTGATTTATTTATTTCTTGATAAAGGCTAATGAGGTCACCAAGGACACAACCATTAGTGTTAAACAGCAGTGAACGTTACCCACAAAAAATGTTTCTACCTTTATTAATCTACCTTAACGACTCTATGGTGCAGTTTTAACATAGTGAGAGTCCGTCACGACGTCAATAGTAAACCACGTGTGTGCCGTCTTATTTCCGGTGATCTGTCAAATGTTGTGAGCCTACATTGGTATGTTTGCACTACATAAATGTCAAGAATAGTTAAGTGATTCTATCACAAATGGTGACTTTTCGCGAAGTGTCTGAATCATCGAGTAGCGTCGTACATCAACATGCATTAAATTGAGTTAATCAAATCATTTCCGGAAGCCATGTGCACCTGAAAACCCTCAGTTAATTTCCATTAACACTATACGGTAACTCACTGAATACATAAAATCGGGGACAACAAATGAAAATATAGCCCTAGGATACCGTTAGATTGTACTTACATGGAGCATATTCGAGTAATACGTGTTCCAAACTTATAGTTGATATGTCCGAATAGTGCCGAACTTGCGCAGAATAGTGCTGAACCGATCGTGAAACACAGAGCAAATTTCTCGTCTTGAGGTTTACACTGGCGCCCACGTCCAATGGGTATTCCGCCGCTATCAGTCTCATTTAATGTCGTCGAATTCGCGGATAAAATATCGTACGACACCACAGCGCTTCCATTAAAAGTCGCATTTGTATTGACTGTTGTTTGAGGACAAAGGTCTGCGTACACATTTTCTTGCTTCAGTACCCAATTCACTGAAGCCCATCCATACAACAACCCTGCGAATAGAAAGGTCTCCACAAACGCCCAAATTGCCACCAAATACCTTCGCCAGCCATGGTACTTCATCGCGATACTTGTTGAAAACGGGTCAGGTTAAAACAGCTTAAAGACAGATTCGTGAATAGTTTGCCACGGGTCGTCGGCACGCTTAGACCTGAAAAGAAAACCGTGTAAGCATGTCAATGTTTACCGACCAAATTGAAATCCAAGTTATTTCAAAAGCAAGTTGATGAAACAATAATAATGCGATGTCTCGAAAGGGGAATTGAATGATAAGTTCATCGATGTTTATGTAGCTGAAGTTTTGAAGCTATACCAGGCACTTGTGCATTTACGTTCATAGAACAGATCCTATAGATTACAAGAAGTTTTCGAGAAGATTTCTACCTAAAACTATAATTAGTAGATATGCTTAATCTCACAAATATTAAACATTTTCCATTGGAAGTTCGATTATTCGTCTACTCTTTGTTTTTTTCAGCATTGTCACGCAATATCAACTGGAGGTAACGCTAATTCTTTGACCACCATTGGAAAACAGTATTACTAGTTCTGTATATAACATATGCTTTGTAGCGAATTTACATGGTAAAACTACATTTAGTTTAAAACTCTAGTTCATTCGTAAAAGCCTTAAACATTTGTATCAAATGTAATTGACTCCGCGATAAGGAAGCATATGTATTTACCTCTCGTAAACACCTGCTTCGTACACGTGTATACGATTTAAGAACAGTTGACTAGAATTTGAATAATCTTTCTGTAACATCTTACGTACCTTACACTATCCATACAAAACATATGCCTAGATGAATGTGAACACATCCCCCAAAGGTGTGTCCCTTAAGTGCGAAATCATACGACAAACCATCCGCTACTTTCTGACATAATTACAGTGACGTCAGCTAAGTATTCCCGCCAAAGGAAACAAATGTGCTGTCAAATGACGGCTGTATCGTAACGGGTGAATGAGCATCTTTGAAGATTAAAAAACACATCTGAATGCAAATTGAAAATGTATTGATTGTCAGATGTTTTAATATTAATTGTTGTGTAATACACGTGGTGTTAATAACACATAAGCAGGTGTTACACACCAATGACAGTAGTTTGCAGTTAACGGGTGGTAATATTTTGTTACCTGGTATTACCCTATACCCAGAACTCAGCAGGATAGCATGGGGTAAGACCATGCAGCAGTATTGGAGCATTGGAATGATTAATAGAATCATTCACCCCCTTTGGGGTGAGACAGGTTTGAGATTCCCGGTCTCATCCTAAAGGGGGTGAATGATTATTTTTCTCTTACCCTGTTCCCCCGCTGATTGTAAAATACTAAATAGAATGTTTGTAAACAAAAACTCAAAGACAATGTATGATTATAGTGATGAGGCCGTCTCAACCGCGTGTAGCTTGTCTCAACCCTAAGGTGAGATAGAAAAAAATCTCACACCGATAAAAACTGTGGATATTCCTGTCCGGGGTAAGAGAAAAAATTGTCCAGATTTTTCCTACTATGACTTTGTAAAACAAAAACAGAATGCGAATAAACAATTGTTGGATTTATTTTTTTATCTTTTATGTGTTGAAGGGCCAAGAAGATAGTACTTCTGCGGGGGAAATGAAGCTGTGTTCGGTAGCCGGAATCCTAGCACTGCATCAGTACTGTATAATTATACAATGGCCGACGAGACCTTATGACTGTTTTTGAACCATCAGTATACAGAGATTGAAAGTTATTATATTTAAAAAGTATGACGGTCAGTGTCATATTTGCTAATTTCACGATAGACTCTGGTAAAGTTAAAAGCCATAGAGAACTTTAAATTGTTTTAAACGACTGAATTGTGTCGATATCACAATTAATTTGGCAGAACATTTGTTCAGTACCCCTCACCTGTTGATGAAGAAAACGTTGCAGAGGACAAACCAGTCTATTTTCAAAACTTTTCACTGCCGATGATTTTGTTATTAGATCGAAGAACTTTTTTTTTTTAGTTTCACAGTGTATGTATAACGTAACACGAGATCCCAGAGGTATCTTAGAGCCCACTATTGTTTGATCTTTATATGCTCTTTTCCTTCTATTCTCTTCTCTGTTTTGGCCCTTAATGATAAGACATTTGAACATTCCATAGCAATAACAATCTTTACTCGGCAAAATCCAATATGGCTGCCTGTCGACCATTATGTTTTTCTAATCAGTCCCAAACTCACACAGGCACAACTAGGGACCTAACGGAACCTATACATGAAATATGTGAAAGAGCTATAGCGTACTCCTCAAGAAATAGTGATCACAAACTTGCAAAGTCAAAATCCAATATGGCCACCTGTCGGTCATTTTGTTTTTCTGATCAGTCCCAAAATTAAATTGGCACAACTTGGGACAAAGAGTGACTTACACATGAAATTTAAATGAGATCCATCGAGTACTTCTTAAGAATAGCGATAACAAACTTTAAAAATTAAATCAAAGAAGGCCGCCTTTCGGCCATTTTTGTTTTTCTGATCAGTCCCAAAATTACATGGGCACAACAAGAGGCCAAGGGGAACCTACATATGAAATTTGAGACAGATCCATCTCTTACTTCTCAAGATATAGCGATAACAAAAATTGTTTACGCACGGACGGACAACGGACCACGGACGTAAAGCGGTTGGAATAGCTCTATGATAATTGTGGGCTAATAAAAAAAGAAAAGAAAATTCCGCCACTGTTCTATTTCTATAGGTAAATTCATTTTATACAAACATCTGTAGGCAGGGTTATTTAACATCGAGGCTTAATAGCACACTGATGTGAACTTGGTATTTGTTTCAATGTTGTAAAGACAGTCAAACATATTTACTACACAGTTTGTATTGACGAATAAGCTGTGTCATTAACAAAATGTCACAGAAATGGAAGAAGACGGTTCTATTTCATTTTACAAATAAAGTTGTTAATTATGTTAATCATGTTGTAAAAGAAAACAAAAGACCCAAGGGCCTTAACGGTCACTTGAGTCACAATGCTTCTAGTAACAGAAGTAATTTTGTTAAAATGTAATATAACTTTAACTATGTTGAACACATAATGCAAATGTAAATTGTGCATACATTAACTGCAGTCCTATGCTAGGCTTCTAACCAAGTTTCAATTAAAGAAAATACACTCAAGATTTGAATTTTTCTGTGAGAAATCTCCCATTCAGGTACAGTAGAGCATCTTTGAAATTTCGACAATTTGACATTTTTTGGCCCCGCCCATCAGTCCCTGGATGTTAGTCAAAGTCATTATGTGCATCTCATCAAACTGTCATCTCAAACTAATAATTCTAATCAGGTTTGAACTATTTCCAATAAAAAACAGCAAATGATGTTCAAAAAATGTGAATATTCTATATAAACTATAGTAAATTTTACTCACCTGGGGGAAATGCGAGACCCTGGGGTCATTAAATTTACTATTTTGGTAAAGCATCTGACAGCATTTCCATCAACGAAAATAACTTGATTCTACCATACCTGAGATTTAAGAAGAAGTTTTTTTTTTTAAATTTTCAATCCATTTGACCCTTTTTGGCCCCGCCCCTCAAGTCCCCGGGGTTGGGGACCATATAATTTACAAGTCTGGTACGCCTTTAGTAGCCATGGAAGGTTTTCCTAAATTTTTAATGAAATCGGATCAGGGGTTTTCCAGAAGCCGCAAAAGTTAAAAGTTTACGAGGCATGAGGCACAACGCACGACGCCGGACAAAATTGGATCACAATAGGTACCCTCAGACTTTGTCTCTGGTGACCTAAAAATGTAAATACAAATTTCTATGATTTCGCCTATGATTTACTTGTAACGAATTTGTATTTGAACGTAGATTTTTCATTTTTACTCTTATTTCTGTTTATATATATATATATCATACTGATATCATATTCTACAATACCAGTTATGAACATTTATTTTCACGACTCGTCATGCGTATGTGTAACTTCCATCAGGGAGATTTACTCGCCTTCAAACTTCAGTAGGCATGCTTTTAAAAGTTAATACCTTGAAACAACATATTTTAAGCTGCTCTGTCTTCGAGGCAAATTTGATTATTAGCAAATTTGAAGATTTCTATGTGTTGTTTCTTCTTCTAACAGGTAAATTTAATAAAACAAACAAATACACTCTTGCAAAAAGGAATAATAAAGTCAGGTCTAACAGTACAGAATTCCTTGTCAGCATATGAATTTAGAGATGATGTGGACATTTACTCCGCTGTAAAATATCTCGGAAGCTACCTATTCAAACTTATGTGTTAACAGAATTAAGGTGTGCAACTTAACTCGAATGGAATTTAAAGCATTTTTTGTTAATAAGAAAACCGCGGGAAACTTTACCACACCACTCCCTGCGTTCATGTCATGAAAACATCGGTTATTACAAGGTTTTCTATGTTCATAACGTGTCATGGGTCTTAACGGCCATTGTGGAGCCCCTTATAAAGCATGTATCTGGTACAAACACAAACTATAAAATGTTCAACCACTGACCTCATTGTTTACTATAAAAAATAGCCCCACTCGAGCCCCAGTCTGCGATAAATGTAAACACGTGGTGAACACTGTAAGATAACACGCTGAATATCTGTATATATGGAACATGATTAATGAAATATTCGGATGATAACATCAATGTGTACAATGTGTACATGTTACATATACAGCACGTATGTGTATACATGTGTGGGAAGTAACTTACGTTCACACCCCAATCAAAGGATCGATCATCAACATAGATCAAGGCGAGCTGTTGTGGTATATGCATCCCCTCCTGTGGAAGAAATAATCCGGACTGGTCAATGTTTACACGGACCAAATGCTATGCTGAATTAACTATTGTCCAGAAGATTTACCTGGGGACAGCACGATAGCCCTGCTCACAGTAACGACAGTGAAACTCTCGTCCGCCGTTTCATTCCTCAGCGAGATTTGTCCGGGGGCCTTCCGTGGGGAAATCATACGGCTTCGGAAACTGGTTGTGCCAGAATATACAATGTAAACAATAAATGCATCCTGGTATAGCACAAGACACGTTAAAATACTGGAATGCCTTCAATAGAATATATCTGGCGTTCATTAACATTACTATTCAAAGATTTTTGGCTACCTAAAATTACCATCATGACTTCAGCATGTGCTTGCGAAACCGTCACATGCAGGTGAAGCATATGATATCATACATCCGGCGGGATGCAGCGCCAGCAATGTGTATGATAAATAATTGGCTGAGGTCACATGTAAACGGCCACGTATGTAACAACCATTCATGATGTAAGTTATAGACCTACCGAATCTAACGTTTTCGAGAAAATGCAAACTGAGCACCAGTAATAACCGTATAGGGAAATAGTGTCACAGGGACGAGGAAAAAAACTAATAATATGTTAGGATATACAACAAGCAGATTAGCGTCATCGTCACCAAAAACTACTAAAAAATGATTAAATACAATGTACAAAACTAAAACTATCCTCGTGACAGAAAAGTATTGGGACTGGAAATAAATATAAATATACATGGACGTGCAGGACAGAAAACGTACGTACAATGACGTATCATGGTTACAGGGACGTTCAGGACAGAAAATATACATACAGTGACGTATCATGGTTACATGGACGTGCAGGACAGAAACCATATATATACAGTGACGTATCATAGTTAAAAGGACGTTCAGGACAGAAAACATATATACATTGACGTAACATGGTTACAAGGACGTTCAGGACAGAAAACATATATACAGTGACGTATCATGGTTACATGGGATGTATATATACATTGACGTAACATGGTTACAAGGACGTTCATATATACAGTGATGTATCATGGTTACAGGGACGTTCAGGACAGAAAACATATATATAGTGATGTATCATGGTTACAGGGACGTTCAGGACAGAAAACATGCGTACAGTGATGTTTGATAGTTACAGGAAGGTTCAGAACAGAAAACATACATACAGTGATGTATCATGGTTACAGGGACGTTCAGGACAGAAAATATACGTATAGTGACGTATCATGGTTACAGGAAGGTTGTGGACGGAAAACATACATACAGTGACGTATCATGGTTACAGGAAGGTTCAGGACAGAAAACATACGTATAGTGACGTATCATGGTTACAGGAAGGTTGTGGACGGAAAACATACATACAGTGACGTATCATGGTTTCAGGGACGTTCAGGACAGAAAACATAAGTACGGTTTCGTATCTTCTGGTTACAGGGACGTTCAAGACAGAAAACATACCTACAGTGACGTGTCATGGTTACGGAGACGTGCAGCGACAGTAACTTCCTATGGTTACAAGGACAGAAAACACTAACAGGGGCGTACAATAGTAGCACGCATGGACATAAAACGCGTTCAAGGTCGTCCAATAGTGCAGGAACATGAGAGAACAGAAAAAAAAACATAAACATGGAGGTACAATAGTTCCGGGAAGGAATGAAACGGAGTTACAATGACATACAAGGTCATATAAAGCATGTACACGATCTACTAAACGTAGACAGTGATTTCATATTGCATTAACCCAAAAACACTTGACCGACTATTGACAATAGATTTATACTGACGCCAGCCTGAAAATACTACAGTATCATCGATTGGTTGTCTGATATTGGACATTTACTGATATTTACCACTAATATTACGTTTTTTCTCGTACTTAAAATAAGGTTGGCATCTGAGTGTGAGAAGTAACACGGTGTCCATAGGAGCCACTTATGTAGGTATTTCGTGGCATTGTATTAAGTGTGAGATTTCAGGCCACGTCCTTGAAATAGGATATGTATCTACAGATCTGGTCACGACGATAAAAAATAATACGAGTCCAGATGTGCTTCACAACATTCCCTTCTCTTATTACTATACATTGTAACATGTAAGGACACCAAGGGGAAATATCTATCGGATATTTAATGCTATCCCGTTTAATATTATAATACCGAATTTATCCATACTTACCATTCATGCGACGACTTGATAACATAAATATGTCATGTCATAGGAGTGAATTATATATGATATTTCTTTTTATTACTTCGCTTCGTAAATCCACGAGCGCAACATTTTCTCCCAGAGTGCATTACGGTACCCCAATAACACTTCTGTAAACGTTTCACCCTATTTAAAGATTATTGAAAAAGTATTTTTGTCAAATAATAAATTTATTTTATGATTTTTCAGTTTTGTTATTTGATTCATTATTTTGAAAACAGATGTTTGTTCATCTGAATACTGACTACATTAGTTTATATGGCATAAACCATTTGGATTATATCCCGGAAAATTAATTTTGAGTAAACAGTCACCAACCGTCATGTCTACTTTTTCTACTTCCTCTTTTCAACAACCGACATGTTCTTGAGATACATGTTGATATAGTATAACATCAGTAATAACTGATGGTTATTTGACAACAACATTGGAACATAACCTCTCTAAAACCCCAATTGTTGATTTTAACGCAGATCAATGGCACCCAAAACAACCTACATATGTGTCCTTCGTTGTTGTATATTGGCTGTTAAAGAACGAAAACCTCGCATGTCCAAACCTTAGAAAGATATTTTGAGCCTGACAATAATTTTAAATGTCAACAGAAAAAGTTCTAAAATGGTACAAAACAACCATAAATTCACATACCTGTGAAGAATATACCTTTTACCCTTTTTGTTATAAAGTATCTAAAAATAACCTTTAGTTGTAAAATTTGATTTGATAGATCACAGATTAAGTTTTGTCATTTTTGTCTGCAAAATCGTTGCAAAAATTTCATGTACATGATGGTGCCAAAATATCAAGATGAAGGGTTCCCAACCAGAATATTTATATAATCACCAGTTGCTATATCAGATTCCTTATGTTATCACTGTACTGATGATAGAAGTATTACAATTTGGCAAGTGAAAAATCACTCGTGCTTTCCATTCGTGAAAAATACAGATACTCTGTTATACTTGTGAAATATTTATGATATCAAACGATAAACCATTAAATATCATCTTTATATTTCACAGACACAAATGTAATATGTGAAGCAATCATCAATTAGACGGTTGGGAAACCAAACGAGGACATACCAGGTGTAAGATTACCTAATAAGCGAATAAGGCGGGAAAACAAATATTGAGATTTTTTATGGTTTTGTTATTCCCGCTTAATTTGGGAAACTAAGAAGAGGGGAAAGTTCATCCTCCAAAGTCATACGAAGACGGGTGTTAGTACATCTATCCACTGCTTATAATACAAGATTGGGAATATTTGGCCTATTTACCTAATTTCATAGCGTTGTAAGTTAAAGCCTTGTTTACACCATATCCCGACGAAACAGGATATTGTAATGAGCATTGTGTGGACAGCAGTCTGTGATATGTGTTTTGCCTTTACACTTGTTATCGCATTACAGAACATTGTGTTTACTTCCCAAACACCTGTTTCCATAGATACCAAAACTTGGCAGTTTGACCCAGCTAAATCTGAGACTGCCGATTGCCAGCAAATACTGTAGACCGTTTAAAATTCTGTTAAGTTATGTTTACGTATTATGTAATCATCAAATAAATGTAAATGGACCATTCAATTTAGTGGTCAGTGATGAACAGTTATGAACGGGCATAGTTGAAATTATTCCTCGAGATATATTTACCATGAATATATATCAACGTTAAGTTACATCACGTCAATATCAATACCAATAAATAACACATGTCAAATTATTGATTAACTTCTTGATTACATTTTTTTTCTTCGGAAAATTTATTGCAATCGAATGTTCGCCAGTTCTTGTGCAACTAATTGTATGGATATTATGGGTTACGTCCCATTAGCGCTTATAGAGTCGTAGGCACAAGAGCACACAGGTAAAATGGGGCCAGTCATGGTTGAGTGATTTTATCAAATTCTACTCTGTACTGGGTGTTCCCAGTTTGCCAACACCAATAATCGGGTATGTTATTTTAAGGGATTAAAGTCAGTTTCTAAATTACGGGTTACCGGTAGAATGTCTCTTTACCTGTGGGAGGTACTTATTGGGCAAGCATTTTGACTATAGACTTATACAGTGGTTATTGTAGGCTAATATAGTTATTGACCTTCTGTACTTATTCGGGAGACCCGTACAGTCCTGGTTATATAGGTATCTATTGTAGCCTACATATATGTTACACATCTACTAGTCCGTGAAAGTACGGTACATATCGGCCTTATTTCGAACTTAAATCCGTGATAGCATAAGTATTCATATTCTAAATCATAAATAAAAATGACCATCTTCAGTTATTATTATACAAATCTGAGTATTACAATTCAGTTCAACAATATCTGTTGAATAAAAACATCACATCTCATTATATGAGTGCATTCAAGTTCAAGTTTTCTTAAATCCAAATGCAATACAGCATATAAGTACAAGTACATTGTATACGTATATATATGTGTTTGTTTAGCATAAAGAAAAGTCGACGTCATTATCATACCTTTACCTTTTCTCCCTTTCACATTTTTTATGATGATGATGATGATGATGATGATGATGATGATGATGATGAAATTTAAAACGATGATGATGATGATGAAATTATAAGATGATGATGATGATGATGATGATGATGATGATGATGATGATGAAATTATAAAATAATGATGATGAAAAAGGAGATGAAGATGATATCATCTCATGATGTTGATGATGATGATAGCGTGTAGTCTTGAGATAATTGTGTGTGTGTGGTGTGTGTGTGTGTGAGGGTGTGTTTGTGTGTGTGTGTGTGTGTGTGTGTGTTGTGTGTGTGTGTGTGTGTGTGTGTGTGTGTGTGTGTGTGTGTGTGTGTGTGTGAGGGTGTGTGTGTGTGTGTGTGTGTGTGTGTGTGTGTGTGTGTGTGTGGCATGTGTGTGTGTGTGTGTGTGTGTGTGTGTGTGTGTGAAATAATGATAACAACATAGAAATAATAAAAAGGACCGTGACATATCAATAAAGTACTATTTACCGAGTCATTGACAGATATCAAATAACTGTTATTACACATTCATACGTACAACTTAATTAATCTTTCAAATGATATTCCAATATAATGCTTACTCAGAGAGGATATTTTTTAT